CCACAGACCCAACCTTCCCCCCCTCCCTGTGCACATGGGGACAGCCCTGGTCCGGCTGGACAGCCCCAGCACCCCCACATGCACCCCCATGGGAGTTCCAACGGGAACATCCGCCTTCGGGACGGGTGGTGCCAGACCTCAGGGGAAGGCCCGGGGGTCAGGGTGGTGACAGGGCAGGGACCTGGTGCTGTGAGGCCCCTGTCACGCCGTGCCCCCTGCCCTGGGGCCACCCTCCCTCCCACGCTGATGCATGGGGAGTGCATTAGGGGCAGCTCCAGGGGGAGGGCGATGGGGATGGATCACATCGACCCAGCGCTAACGGGGAGCAGGGCTGAGCACGTCCAGGTGCCACCCATGGGTTGTCCCCAGCACCTACCCCAGCCGGGGTGACATCGTCCCCAGGCACCAGGCATTGCCGCCTCCTTTGCCGGTGACGCCACCAGGCACCTGGAGCTGGGTGATGGGGGCTGTGGGGGGGAGGAAGAGGGGACGCTCAGGCCCATGGGTCCCTGGCTGGGTGATGGCCACCGCTGGTGAGGAGCAGAGGCTTTGCAGAGCTGGGGGTGTGGGTCCGGCTGGAGCCCACAGCCTCCCCGGTGCCCTGAGCCCCACAGCGTCCCTGCGTCCCCGGCTGCTGGTATCAGTGTAAGGATGCGTGCAACGTGAGAGGTCTTAATTAGTTTCATTTTATTACTCCTCTCCGTTGCACTGAAGTCACCCAAGGGCACTGCGAAAACCAGGAAGGGAAAGGCACAGAGACGCAAACCTGGCCAATTAGCACTGATGAAAGGAACCCGGTCAGCTGTGCTAATTACCAGGGACATGTGGGAGTGGGAACATGTTCACTGCAGCATGGTTAACTGATGGAGGAGCTTCCTGAGCCGTGGCGATGAGCAAAGGCAGGCCAACAGGAGCAGAGCCCAAGCCACAGCCCTATGGAAGGGATGCGAAGAGGGTGCCAAGACCAAGCCCCCAGCAGCTGCTTGGGCTGGGTGGCCATCGGGGGATTAGAGGCATCGCTCCTGGGAAGGGCGACTCGACCCTGGAAAGGAGGGGATGATCCTGGATGCGGGGTGGGAGCAAGCGGGTGGGGGGTGACTTTCACCTCCAGCCATGGGGGGGACTGAGGGACTCTGTGGCTGAAGTGGGAGGGGGCGAGTGGTTGTACCCCTCCCCAAACCAGGTGTGCATGGGGTGCGTGTGTATTCACTGGCAAATGCTGAGGTGGCCCAGCCAGCGAGCAGAGCGGGGCTTGGGTCCAGGCTGGGGTTTCAGGCTGGTGAGCGTCCATGCTGGGATGCTGAACATCCCTTGACAGCCAGAAGGAGCATCCATCCCCCTCCACCCTGGTCCCCTCCTGCTGCTGCCTCGCTCTGCTCCTCCTCCTCCTCCACCTCCTTCTTTCCCCCTGCATCGAGAGCAGCTCAATTCCCCCTCCTGTTGTCCCTTGTCACCCTCCCAGGGCATGGTGCCACGGGAGCCCTTGGCTTCTCCACAGGCAGTTGAGCTGGAAGCCCCTGGTGGTGCAGGAACAGGTCACACCAGCGCTGGAGCTCCCGTCGGTGCTCCCCCGGGGACTGGTCCCAGCTCACCACCGGCTCCTGGTGGGGGGGGAGCCTGCAGATGCC